AAAAAAGAAATAATACATTAATTAATAAATACAAATTTAAAAAGCTGTTGTGTACCAGTGGTCGGGTGTGAACCATTTTTCTCTTTTCTTTTAAGTATCAAAAGATATGTACAACATGTTCGGTGTCAAAACTTTGAATAAATAGGTAGTCTCTTAAAAGTTATTAACAGAACATGTTTTTCATTTTTCAAATACATTGTAGATCTATATTTGTAAGAGCTGAGACAGGGTGTAACGGTTATATTATAGGGTTCGATATTACATAATAATATATGGATGGGGCATCTAAACGTTTTAAACAGCGGTTCAGATGTTTTCAGTTTCAGAGTTCATGTTAAAAGCTAGATTCGTACACTTTCAAACATCGTAGGTCCACAAAAATCTTTTTCACGGCCTTCCGAAATTCTTTGTTCATCAAAGCAAACACAAGAGTATTCATCGAGGAATTGGCAGGAGCGATAAAGATCAAGAAAGCGTACAGTTCATACGGGAGATCTACCACACTTTCAATATACATGCAGAACACTGTTGGTAAAGTGAATCCGAAAAAGAAACCGAACACGACAGCGAAGAACCTAACACTTTTTAAGGCAGATGTTTGGCGCTTTCTGTTTCTCAAATCTTCCCCAGTTCTGTCCAGGGATATTGTCTGGTTTGCAATAGAACGCCGGTGCTGCAGAACCACGCGTGCTATCTTGTAATAGGCTATCAACACAACAACTAACAAAATGAAGTAGGCAATCCCTATTGCGTAAAGAGTATACTCCGGAGGCAGGTCAATCAGAATGCAGAAGCCAACGTTAACTTCCCTGTATACTATCATCGGCGCTATAGTATACACGGCCCCTGATACCCAGAGACAAAGAATTTGAAAAAAAATCACACGCCGTGTTATGCATCTTTCATACAGGTAAGGCTTGCCGATGTAAATGTATCGATCAACAGCAATGACGGCCATATGTGCAAAAGACAGGCTGACCATGCCAAACGTAACCGCAAGACTGGCTAAGTATGGAAACGTCGAGGTGACCCGGTCCTGAACCGTTGGGTTCACGAAGGATCCCAGAAAGATGGCGGTAGCGCCGACAAGGACGTCACTGACTGCCAGAGAGAACATGTACAGGTTAGGGTTGGTGTGGAGGCTGGGCGTCCTGCGTATCGCCATGATAGTAATGATGTTCTCGAAGAAGATGAAGACACCCAAGCAGATGTAGATGGTGCTGACAATTATCATGGATTGCCGGGACCCAAGAGCGCAACTGGGTTCGTGTCCAGGATCAGACGCCATGGTTCTGGTGCAGGTTGGTCTAGATCACTGCCTGGGGTCCAGCAGAGATATGTGGCCTGTCTAAAATTAAAGAAATAAAAAATGAGTAAGCTACATTTCAAGTTTTGGGATGTAGTAGGGATAGGTAGATAACAACGATTCTCCTCTTACCCACACCACATTTACTATAGTTTCCTGTGCATATCATATCAACCTGGTAAAAAGTGAGCATGATCCCAGGATTTTCAAAAATGGCAAATGTCTATAAAAACAGTCTAAGACGTCTCGGTGTTTTTTTACTTATAACTTCACATGCGCAGAGAGCGAGAAAAGGGGGGGGGGTGAAATTGTGATTATACTTTTAAGTGAAGGAAACCTTGCAAGCTAGTTGGTTAGAACTAATAGAATAATATAGATACAATTTGCATTATAAACAGAAAAGAACTGACATAACATAAAAAGATATTATTATAAAACTCACGGACAGCAAAAAAATATTCTAGATTAAACAGTAAGATAAAATCGACCTGCTATGTTTATTATGTCGTTTTTTCAAAGGAATTTTTGGCGCCATAACATACAAAACAGGTCAGTTCTAAGGACGAGCATTGAGCAACGAAGGAAAGTGGGGGGGGGGGGTTGGTGAGGTAGAAGGATCAACTAGAGCATGCCACAGATTCAAATTCCCAAAGCGCTAAACTTGTATCCGGACGACAAGTGTTCAAATCTTCACCTGAATTGTTGGAGTGTGGCGTTTTGTTAAGAAAAACAAAAGTGACGTTACGTTGAAGGAGCAAACAAAAAACAAATAAAAAAGTACGATCAAAGAAAGAGAAACAAACGAACAAACTGACAACACGGGAAAAACATCAAACAAAACAAAGAATACACCAAGAAAATCAGCTCCTAGAGATTATGTTAAACGATTCGAACCTAGCCGTATAGAAAGAGCCCCGCCGGATTTGGTTGCCAACGACTGCACATCATACGTTTGTAACAGAGACCTAATTTGAATGTTGCATGCGTTAACTACAGCTCGTCGCAGAAGGTCGCCGGCGACACAAGGGTTAAGGAGCGGCAGGAGATGGCAAACAATACGATACAGTATCTGGAGGCGCACGACTCGCTGTGATGGATGGTGCTGATAGCGGCTCTCAGCCCAGCTCTTTGAGGCACAACCGCCTCCAGACCGACAATTTCGCCGTTTAATTTCCCGCGCGGCAGGGGGGCGGCGACGCTAGCGCGGCGGAGGGCGGCAGAAGTCCGCCGGGCGGGGACAGACAGACAGATGGAAGCAGCGAGGACGTCATCGACAGCTATCTTGTACAACTTACTGACTGCTGCTGCTGCTGCTGTCGTGCTGTTTCTGCTGCTGCTTGCGGCTGTTTGTTGTCGTTGCTGTTGTTTTGCTGTTGTTGCTGTCGTTGCTGCTGTTGTTGTTTTTGCTGCTGATGCTTGCTGCTGCTGATGCTTGCTGCTGCTGCTGTTTGTTGTTGTTGCTATCGTTGTCCCTGTTGTTGTTGCTATCGTTGTCCCTGTTGTTGTTGCTATCGTTGTCCCTGTTGTTGTTGCTGTCGTTGTCCCTGTTGTTGTTGCTGCTGTTGATGTTGTTGCTGCGTCAGCTTCTCGTCGTTTGGCGCTACGTGATCGCCCGAAGGAGGAGCAGGCATGACAGGATGCTTGTGGGTAACGGGTTCTTCCTCTTCCTCGGTGCTAGTTCGACTACGCAAGTATGAGTTCGCACCCTCCCCTCAATTATTATTCCCAGCAAAACATTATTAACAATTCTTCCTCGGCGGCATAATAAATAAAACATGTCGAAGCAGATAAATCAACCCAAAAAGCTGAGTATAGTATATAACGGGGGTGGGCAAACTTTTTGGATTTGTTAATTTTGGGTGAGGGGAGAGAGCAGTGGTAAATAGTAACGTGTCATATCTTTTAAAACTGAGCGTAGTCCCACTTAGTAACTTCATTTTTCTTTAATTTTTTTAAAAATATTAAGCATGATGTACATATTCTATGAAGGGACATATTTGACCCGCGGACCGCACGGTGACCATTGCTGGTTTAGACAGAAACATTGAAGTACATACATTAAATGTGAGGGAAATCTAGACAGATACAAGAGTGAGATATTCAAAGAAAACAAGTTTGGTGTGTATGTGAACATGTGTATGTGTGTGCGTGTGTGTGTGTGTGTGT